TTTTCTCAAATATATTCATACTTGATGTTTGTAATAGAAACTGTTCTGGAATTATGTTACACAAGCCCCCTCCCCCACAATCCCTCTGTACACCCAAAGTGAGTTTCACCTAATTTGGGTCATTTGGAAACCAAGGGGAGAATCTGTGCCTGTATAGTAAGTTGCCTACTTTATCAGCCAGGATTAATATCCCTAGGGCTAGATTCTGATAATTAAGTCCACAAGCCCACAACTATTATGCCTGTGATTATTTTTATGCATGTAAGTAATCCCATTCACTCAAATGGGACTACTCACATACATAGTTATTCCTGTGCCTTGTGTTCACAGGATGCGGGCCTAAAAACTACATGAATGATGGTCAGGGAGAACAACAAAGTATTCTATAAACTACACCATAGATACGCATAGTCTATACAAGGTTTTTTTTGGTACCAGTGTAGCCATGTATACAAGTTATAATAGGAAATCTTGGCGCTTACCTATGATATAGGATGCAGGGTCAAAACAGTCTTTGGGACTGGCTACAGTAGGAATGAGCCATGTTAAAGCTGCACTCTTTTCACAGTATTGATCCTGAATAAACCCCCTAATCTGAGCATAGTATGTTTTTCCATCCTGCTCATCAACCACTGAAACAACATCTCCAATTTGATAGTACACTCCCTGGAAGAGAGACAGATAATTACTTTTTAAAAAACCTGATTTTACTAGCAACTGCCTAGAACTTTCCTCAGCTCTCTTCAGGGATATTTTAAATACCAGATTTCCCTTCCTTACACCATTTATTTGCAGACACAATGCTTAGACCTCATCTCCAGTCCAGATAAACTGCACCCTTCTCCAAGTGCTCCAACAATTCAGCCATTCAAATCAAGGGAAAGGGGCGCTGTAAAATGGAATTATTCTTCACCCATAGTATGGTCTGTTCAACATCACCTAATCTCTAGTGGCCTCAGTTCCCATCCTGCAGAAGTGGACAGTCACTGCCTCACTAATACACAAGTACAGTTCTTCAGGGCACCAGTCTACATGCTGTCCCCAACAGCTACATATGATTCTAGACTCTAGAGCCAGAAGTTGTGGATCACTGACCAAGGCCTTCTATACACATGGCAGCACAGAGTAACCAGCCAGCAAACAGGTTTTTGAGATAACTGAACTTATTTAATACTGGTTTTGATTTTTTCCTTTGGGGTAAAAAAAGAAAACACCCTCAGTTTTTAAAAAATATTATATATGATTGAGCGCTGTTCCAGCTATGGACACTGCTACAAATAGAATACCTCAGACATCCTATTAAAGAAGCAAATATGAGAATATACATTAATTTTCATGCTAGACATGCTAGACACTAATTTTGACAACAGAACTTCCTCAGAACATTCTTTCCCTTTAAAGTTTGGCTTATTCTTTTCTTAACTTGTCAAATATATACTGTCCCCTTGTTTGAAACGTCTAGAGTGTTCCCACTGGCTGCAACAAACTTCTTGAAGTCAGAACTACACAAAGACAATCTCCTATATCTGTGATATGCCCTCTACTTAAAATAGGACCCACCACGCTAAATTTCAACTACAGCTGAAAGTAAATGTCAATTTTGCTTGGTTCCCAACACTAGCACAGTGAAAGCTGACACTTTTTCATAAACTCACAAGTGTGTTTTTGAAAAAAATTCCAATTAAAAAGCTGGTTCTCTTTATAAGAATTACACAATTTAATGCTTAACCTCTGGAGAGAAAAAAAGATTAAAACTTCTGGGGTAAACAATTTTCCATGATATAATGATACAACACACTGATGCTGGGGTTCCCCAAGAATTCAGTTTGTGAAAGGAAGAAAACTTTTTGTAAATGAAGTCCTTTCACTATCTATCTGCAATAACTTTTGAAAGTCTTAGAGAAAGAACATATTTTTCTCTATATAAACCATACATACCTTATGAAAGATGGATTCTGCTGTAATTATAGTGGATACAGACTCAGGAGCCTTGATGGGCTAAATAAACAACAACATAAAAACAGTTAGAAGTTACAAGGGTAGAAAAATTCATGAAGAAAATGTCAATGTTTTCTAGGCTTGGTCTACACTACCCGCCTGAATCGGCGGGTAGAAATCGACCTCTCGGGGATCGATTTATTGCGTCCCTCGATCCCCGAATCGACGCTCTTACTTCACCAGCGAAGGTGAGAGTAAGCGCTGTCGACGGGAAGCCACAGAGGTCGATTTTGCCGCCATCCCTACAGCGGGGTAAGTCGGCTGCGATACGTCGAATTCAGCTACGCTATTTGCATAGCTGAATTTGCGTATCTTAAATCAATCCCCCACCCCATAGTGAAGATGTAGCCCTAGAGAAATAGGAAAGAAAATTCTAGCAAATATAAGATACTAAAGCAGAATCTTCACATAAAGGACAAGACATTATAATTTCTCTAATACTTCCATTTTTATAATAAAAATAAAAAATGACACCACTAACTTTCATTATCTTAAAAATGAGGTTTTAAAGAGAAAGGCTGGTTATAAACTTGTATGATTAGTCTCACCGTTAAACATGGAAGTGGGGGAGAGGAGAAGAAAGCACAGGACCCTTGAGAACTCAGTTCAAACCAGGAGGCAGAATGACCCCTTACAAAAGACATGTGAGCAGGTTTGTTCACGCTGCTCAGAGCTGGGGACAATCCAAACCTGTGTACCTGACACTGCAACCATATCCTATCCTGACTAAAGACTGATTGTGTGAATGAAGTTGCAAAAGAAACTACAACAAGGTCAAATGCATGTGTCATCAGACATCAGGGTGGATTAAATTTAAATCAAAGCAATTTTTAATAATGATTTAAATTAGCAAGCAGGAAACCTTTGTTTAAATAACTGATTTAAATTGTTTTGTATTTGTACTTTTAAAGTTATTTTCCTAAAGAAAGGTTGATTCTTGCTTGGCAACCATTCAAACATGTTCATTTGCAACTAAATACAGGCTGTACACTAAATGTTGAGCTTTTTTGCTAACCAGGAAAATATATCTATACATATTTATTATATAGATTAACTTATATTTATTCATTTTAATATTTTATTGTGTTAGAAAATGGTGAATAATGCATGATATTTTTTTAACTTGCAATTGGTATCAAGTTCTATTGGGATGGAAATTCAAATTAAATTACAAATGCACAAAAACAATATTACTTTTTTTATTAACTAAAACTACCTTAAATGTGTTGGATTCATACAATTTTTTTTTATAAAAACTTAATAAAAATCAATTGTAAATACATAACATGGAAAGTATTATCTGTAGTTAGTGAATTTAACTGATTTGTTTGTGGTCACGGGTTCTCTGAGACTTTAGAACTAGCAGATCTCATCATCTTCCAGTTTTTGTTCATAGACTGGAAGAGGAAAAGAAGCCTTCCTGCTTTTTCAACTTCTAATTGGTTTCTTAACTTTGGATGACCTCGTATTGAACTGAACTAGTTGAATAAACTGGATTAAAGAAAATATTCTCTCTGCAACTGTTAGAAGAGGCTACTGCTGCCAAAAGCTAGTTTAGCACTTCAGCAAATTCTGGTTCCAGATTTTTAGCCAGTGTTTTCCACCAGTTCAATGATTTGACTTTATTTAAAACTTAGCAGCAACATATATTGTTTAATATTATTTATTTTAATTATAAGTTAATGCATTAATCACAGGTTGTCACTTTCGATTTTGATTTTAAATTACAGGTTTATTTTCAAAAAATAAATGTGTATTTAACTGAAATTATTAAAAAAAAAGGCAAATTGGATTTTTAAGTCATTGATTTTTATCCACCCTGGCAAAAATGAAGGGACTGAGGCAGAAATTGGGACAGCAAGCTGGACTCAGTTTGGGTTTAATTTGATTTTCTACAGAAAAGGAGTAAGTCTTTGGAGAAATGACAAATATGTTTGCAGATCTGGATTACCTTGACATGTTGGGCCACTGCTTTGAGGAGACTGCAACACCAAAGCGGTGTGTGGCAGAACACACTATTTAGGGCTAATCTACACTAGAAGCGCTACAGCTGCGTAGCTGCACTAATGCAGCTGTAGCGCGTCTGGTGAAGAGGCTCCATACAGATGGGAGAGAGTTCTCCTGTGGGCATAATAAATCCACCTCTGCAAGAGGCGGTAGCTGTGTGGAAAGAAGACGCTCGTTGTAATTTATATAGCTCAGGGGGGCGGCTTATTCACACCCCCGAGTGACGTAAGTGGTAGCGTAGACCAAGCCTTACACAGTATAATTGCAACGAGCATAAGACATTAGCCACCATCACCTTACATTTTTTAACTTGAAGATGTGTCTTCTCCCTTTGCCTTTAGTGGAAACTTTCTTCTCCGCAGCGGGAGCAGATTTGTATTTTGTGTTCCGCAGCCGAGCTGACCGCCTGTGGATCTCCTGTTTGCTCTGCCATGCGGACAATGAAACGAGAAAGCGGGAAGGAGTGTTCATGTTACGGGGTTGCCGCAGGGCTATGAAGCTAGACGGGCCCGCAGTTCAGACACTCAATAAATGGGCTCTCCATAAAACCGGGTTAGGCCCGACAGCGGCTCCCCTGATTTCCCTGTAGCTACGCACCGAGTTAGCCCGACAGGCCCGGCTGCGGACACCGCCAGCCCGCCGGGCGCTGCAGCCGCGGGCTCCGCTCTTTGCCCGCCGGGAAGGGCGGCGCGGCGGTGTCACGCCCCGTGTAAACCCCCAGGGAGCCCCGCCCCGGGACCCCGGCCCCTTCGTGCAGCACAGCGGGTGCCCGGCAGCCTGACCTGCTTGCCGCCGCCCCCGTTGCTGTGCTGGGCGGCGGCCGAGGTGGTGGCGAAGGGCCCGGGCCCGGGCGGCCCGGCGCGGCCCGTGCAGTTGTTGCAGAGGATCTCGCCCTGGCCGCCCTTCTTCCACATGGAGGAGGAGGTGCTGCGGCACACGCTGCACGTGGGCTTCAGCCCCAGCGGCATCCTCGGCGCCGGCCCGGGCCGCGGCCCCGCGCAGCCACAGCGAGCCCGGCCGCCCGCACTGGGCCGCCTCGTTCCTCCGCCGGCGGGTGCTGCTGCTGGGAGCGGCGCTGCGGAGCAGCCGGGGGGCGGAAGGAGCGGAGCGAGCCCTCTGCTGGCTGCTGCGCAGGTACCTGCTGCCCGGCCCCCAATCCCCTTCCCCCGAGCCCAGCTCCGCCCAGTCCGGCCTGGCCCCTAGCTCCCTTCTGCCCGGCCTGGCTGGCACCCAACCCTCCCCCCGCTGTGCCCAGCCCAGCACTCATTGCGCAGCCTGGCTTGGCACACTTCTCCCCCCCAGCCTAGCCCAGCTCCTGTCTGTGCACACACAGCCTGTGTCCCCCTGGACCCAACTCTTCCACCCACACAGCTCAGTGCCCAGCCCCCCACATAGCACCCAACCACCCTTCCCCCCCACACACAGCCTGGCTCAGCACCCAGCAAACCCCACCCAGCACACAGCCCTGCCCAGCAGCCCCCATTCCACCGACCAGCCTAGCAATCCCTCCCGCAGCTGGGATCCAGGATATGGAGGTAGCTGCACCACCCCACAGCCTTTCTAGCATGTACCTTTCTCCCCCCAAAAAATAGTTGGTACTCCAGCAAATGGAGGAATAGACTCCATCTTATTCTGCCTTTTTGCTGTCTTGGCTTTGCAGGACTAACAACAGTACCTCTTAACCTGCCACAGCCGGAATGTGTGACAGAGACAGAATTGGGGACACAAAAATATTCATACAGGTAACTAAAAATGCTGTAGGGTTCACTCCTGTAGTGTAAATAACTAATCCTGTAACTCATTGAGGGTTGCAAGGTGTCCAATATTCGACTGGAACGCCTGGTTGAAAAGGGACCCTGGCAGCTCATTAAAAGGCCGGTTGGCGGCGCAGGCAGGCTCCCTACCAGACTCCGCATGGCTCCTGGGAAGCAGCTGGCATGTCCCTCTGGCTCTTAGGTGGAGGGATGGCCACGGGGGCTCTGCGCGCTACCCCCCCCCCCCACTGAGTGCCAGCTCTGCAGCTCCCATTGGCCGGGATCCGTGGCCAATGGGAGCTGTGGGGGCAGCACCTGTGGGCGTGGACAGCGCACAGAGCCGCCTGGTCGTGCCTCCGCCTAGGAGCCAGAGGGACATGCCGGCTGCTTCCCGGGAGCCAGCTGAGGTAAGCACCACCCGGAACCTGCACCCCCTCCTGTGCCCCTACCCCAGCCCTGAGCCCCCTCCTGCACCCAAACTCCTCTCTGAGCCTGCATCCCCTCCTGTGCCCCAACCCCCAGCCCCCTCCAGCATTCCAAACCCCTTGTCCCCAGTCCGGAGACCCCTCCTGCACACCAAACCCCTCATACCCAGTCCCAGCCCAGAGCCTGTACCCCCAGACAGAGCCCTCACCCCAGCCCGCACCCTGAACTCCTCATTTCTGGCTGCACCCCCAGCCCAAAGCCCGTACCCCCCCACACACTCCAAACCCCTTGGCCCCAGCCCGGAGCCCCCTTCTGCACCCAAATCCCTCATCCCCGTCCCTGCCCCAGAGCCTGCACCTCCAGCTGGAGCCCTCACTCTATCCTGCAACCCAACCCCCTACCTCAGCCTTGTGAAAATGAGCGAGTGAGCAAGGGTGGGGGAGAACGAGCGGAGGGAGGGGGAATAGTGTGAGTGGGGCAGGGCCTCGGAGAAGGGGTGGGGGTGGGGCCTTGGGCAGAGGTGGGGAAAAGGTGTTTGGTTTTGTGATATTAGAAAGTTGGCAACCCTAAACCTCAATGCCATGATTTCTTCTTTCTGCTGTAAATAACTTTCAACCTGAAGAAGAACTCTGTGTGGCTCAAAAGCTTGTCTCTCTCACCAACAGAAATTTGTCCATTAAAGTTGTTAACTTATCTTTCAACAAGTGAAGGGACTGTACATTTTTTGTGGAATGTAGGTAACTTTTGGACTAAAATGAGTGCTATACATCATTATGAAGGGCAATTGAGAAAGATGGCAAACGAGTAAAACTAAAACCATTTAAAAACATAGGCCCCAATCCTACAATAGGGTTGGCACTAACAGAATCGTGGCCATGCACAGCTCAGAGGTCTGCTTGTGCAGGTCTGACTGCAAGATCAGGGCCTTATTTTAGTTACTCAAGTCAGCAGCTGTGACACCCACATGGGGAGCAAATGTGCTGAGTAAGAAATGTGCTTTGCTAGAGCTATACTGTTCTGTAGACCAGTAAAGGACTTTGGAATGCAGGGTCGTCACATTGTGACATTTCTAAGCACGAAATTCACACAAAAAGTGGGGAACAGAGATTAAATTAAAATACAAAACAAAAGAATATTTTGGCTGAATGAGGGCTGAATTAGTGGCCTCCAAGCAAGGCCATCCCTAGAGATTGTGGTGGCCTACGCAGCCCCCCTGTGGGCCTCTGATGGGGGGGGGAGTGGTGTCCCAGGCCTATGCAGGGGGTAGGGAGCGTCCCAGGCCTCCGAGGGAGAGGGGGAGGGGATGCCCTAAGTGGCTGCGTAGTTTGCGTATGGGTAGGGACCGCCCTGCCTCCAAGTATACATTGCTTGTGGCCTTGATTCTGAAATTGAATGGGACTTGAGTGGACTCCTGCCCCCACACAAAGTCAGCTGATGAGCTGAGGCCTCAGTTTGTGCCTCAGGCTGAGCCGGCCTTTTGTTAAGATATTCTTACCAGAAAAGTCAACAGTTTCCTTTTCCTGTTTTTAGTTACTTTTCATAAATTTCTGCAATATAGAAACATAAAGGAACCCAAATAATGTAATCACTTTTATTAACAGTTGCACAGCAATCTACAGCTCGATGTAAAAGTACAACCTTAAAATTCAGTATGCCTCTGATTCTACAAGATTTGGATGGTGGATTCCTGCACCGGTATGGAATCCCGTTGACTTAACTGGGACAATGTGCAGATTTAAGGGTGGACCAGCTTGCAGGATTGATACCTGTGGGAGGATGCTTCAGAGGCCTTAAAATCTTCTGCATTAAATTAGTTAACTGTACGTTTTTGCCCAGAAGTCTCCTACTTTCAGCAGAAGTAGCAAAATGGCATATATGAAAATGTACTGGATTTGTGGTGGTATGTTGGTGTGTCACAGTTGCCAAGGCAATTCCACCTCTAATCCCTTCATGGCCTACTTGACAGTGTCTTGCTCAGGCCTCAAGCCTCTAGATGTCACCTTTTTGGGATGGGAACCCACAATCTTCTTCTTTAGGCTGAAATTCCTCCTGCAATTCACTGTAATCATCTTAGAAATTTAGTTTGACATCTGTAGTTCTGCACTCTCACGGCTATGATGACCAGCCAGCCTTCATAATCATAAAGCAAAGTATTTATTTAGAACAAAAGCATTACAGAGAAAACATACCATAAATCAATAAACAGCTTACAAACATGCTATTCGAATCCACTTTCCCTATCAGGCTGAGAGGGGAATTAAACTTGGGTTTTCCACATCCAGTGCAATAAATGCTCTATCTAAGTTATAATGTTGGCAGCACTAGCACCACAACCACCTCCTCCTCTAGTGGCCAGATTTTGAATGGGCCCTGATCTGGTAGGTGGCCTCTGAGCATGTCTACTAGATCAGGCCCCACAAGAGTTATGTATTTGTCTGCTATCCCCAGTTTGTGGATTGCTCTGAGGCGTATGCCGGAGATAGGCATTTGGATACCCAGAAGGAGGCAGCAGTATGCATTCTCAGAGGCAGAAACTTGGGCACCTAGGGAACTTTTACTCTGAAAACTTAGGTGCTGAGTGAGTTTAGACAGCTACAGAGTTTGGTGGCAGTTTTGTGGATCTCAGTTAAACCTAAAACTGGGATGTAGACGTTTAAACCTGATGCTTAGGCATCTAAGGCTGGGATTTAGGTGTCTACCTTTGTGGCTCGGGACCAGAGTATTTATCTGTCTTACCAGTCTTTAATGCCCTTAATGGGATTTGCTCCTACATAACCTGGCTTCTGATAACACCTCTGCTCTAAATTTTCTTACTGATATTTATTAGTAATAAATATACCTAAAAATGGTTGTGAAAGCTTTGAAAACTTAAAACTATTTTTATTTTGATGTAATAGTTTGATCTAGTTTTGATGGGTTTAACTAAACTATAATTTTGTAATGATGAAAGAGAAAACAGCTTTATTGCAGCAGTTGAAAGTATTTTAGCAGATAGATCAAAGTACGATTCCTGAGAGCGCATGCATAAGACTGCAAGTTTGTCATGGAGGTCATGGATTCCGGGACCTCCGGGACTTCTGCAGCAGCTGGTGTAGCTGGCCTGGGGGCCTGAGCAGCTCAGGCAGCTCCTGGGCCAGTCGCATTTGGCTGCTGCTGGGGCAGTCTCGGGCCACTGCAACCCCTCCCCCAGCATCAGCAGGAGTTTGGGTGTGGGAGGGGGGCTCAGGGCTGGAGTAAGGGTGGGGGTGAAGGCTCTGGGTGGCACTTACCTCAGTGGGCTCCCCGGAAGCGGCCACATTCCTAGGTGGAGGGCTCTGCCAGGGGGCTCTGCGCACTGCCTCTGCCTGCAGGCACTGCCCCCGCAGCTCCCTTTGGCTGCAGTTCCGAGCCAATAGGAGCTGCGGAGCCGGTGCTAGGGGCGGAGGCAGCACGCAGAGCTGCCTGGCCATGCCTCCGCCTAGGAGCTGAGGGATGTTGCCACTTCCAGGGAGGCACCCCCAGGCTGCCCCCGCCCCCAAAATTTAGTCAGGGGTATATAGTACAAGTGATGGACAGGTCATGGGCCGTGAATTTTTGTTTACTGCTGGTGACTGTCCATGACTTTTACTAAAAATACCCATGACTAAAACGTAGCCTTACTCATGCACTTGTACTGTTTATTAGCCTAGAGAAATATTAACGGTCTTTCCCCCCAAGGACTGTAAACCCATGTGATGTTGTTAAAAGTTCTAGTTCTTTTTTCTCTTGTCTTTAAACATTTAAGAGATTTCTGTGCTGGTGAAAGTGTCAGCCCGTTTCAATGCTGGAGGGTGACATCCTGTTTCTGTGAAGAAGTGATGTACAGGGAGTAGCAGCTGCCTTAGTTCAGTGGGCCTCACTCCTAACCTGGAATGACCAGTTTTGCTCTCATGCCTATTCAGTCTAGGCCCTCACTATTATTCAGACTGCCAAAAAGATTGGGGAAAGAAGGTCAGAGGAAATAATGCAAAATGTGATGTGGATACCTGTCTGCTAGGAGCTGAACTGTGGAAGTCAGCTAATTGCACATAGGTTACACAGCTGCTAACAGGTAGCAATGAGTTTGAGTTATGTAGGTGAACCAATGATCTAAAGGAGAATTGCCACCAGTCCTGTTACCAAACCAGTGAGCCATCCTGTCCACAAATGTGAATATTTTTTTTACCTCCTTAGCAAAGTTATAGTTTGCTAGTGTCTGTCTACCATTTGTATGGGAGCCAAGTACAAATGGTACCATTTCAAATTAAAAGGTAATTGCTCTGGTTGTTCTAATGGCCTAATGCTAATGAGCTACCACAGCAGAGGCTGAAGTGTGATTGCCAATTGTGGTCTATCGTTCCCTATGTTAGAAAGTAGCAGGAGACAGTAGTGATTTAGGGTTACCATTCGTCCAGATTTACCCGGACATG